TAAACACGTAAAATTCTGTTTTTTTTTTACAGTTGCATTTGAAATTACGTTTCGAACCTTAATCTGTTGATGACGTCACATGTGCGACAGAAATTTTGGCAGGGCTCTGGTACTGTAAAGAATTCCATTTTCAGGTCAAGTGAAATAACAGGAATTATTTGAATTAACGCAGGCCTAGCAAGCTGCTGGTCGCGGGTTCGAATCCTCGTCACCGAACATGCTCGCCCTTTCAGCTGTGGGGGCGTTATAATGCGACGGTCAATCCCACTGTCCGTTGGTAAAGAGTAGTACAAGAGTTGGTGGTAGGTGGAGTTGACTAGCCTCCTTCCCTCTAGTCCGTCACTTCTAAATAATAGTAAATTAGGGACCGCTAGCGCAGGTAGTTCTCGAGTAGTTATTAATTTGTAGGTTTCTAGTAATTAGCGGAGATCATTGTTGTTAGGGGCCTAAAATATTTTATGTGCAGGCTTCCATACAAATAATGTAATAAGCCAGACTGATCAATAGGTATTCTTTACACGAGTTTTAATAAGGTCGTTTATAAACATCTGTAATAAGCTAGTCTGATCAATAGGTATTCTTTACACGAGTTTTAATAAAGCCGTTTATAAACATCTGTAATAAGCCAGTCTGATCATTAGGTATTCTTTACACGAGTTTTAATAAAGCCGTTTATAAACATCTGTAATAAGCCAGTCTGATCATTAGGTATTCTTTACACGAGTTTTAATAAAGCCGTTTATAAACATCTGTAATAAGCCAGTCTGATCAATAGGTATAAACATGTAAAAACGTGGGATGATGTACAAGTTCTACATACAATAAACATGTAAAAACGTGGGATGATATACAAGTTCTACATACAAAGAACATGTAAAAACGTGGGATGATATACAACTTGATATACAAGTTCTACATACAATAATTATAATCGTACTTAGATAAGCAATATTAAGTAAAACAAGGAACATGTAAAAACGTGGGATGATATACAAGTTCTACATACAATAATTATAATCGTACTTAGATAAGCAATATTAAGTAAAACAAGGAACATGTAAAAACGTGGGATGATATACAAGTTCTACATACAATAATTATAATCGTACTTTCATCAGTTTTGTGAATTAAAAACATAAATCATAACAATAATCAAATTATACCCAAGTTTGATATTCGTTACCACACGAAACGTCTGACAAAACTAGTTTTAAAAACAAGCAATCAGTTCAGCAATTTTTGAAATCTATACAAAGAAAACTACCAAGATATTTTGTTCTCTCTGTCCTCCAGTGGGTTAGCGGCTAGCTTACGGTCTTGCAACGCTAAAACCCGGGGTTCGATTCCCCGTACTGGACAGAGCACAGATAGCTTTGCGCAAAAAGTAACGACTGTTCTCTCTACCCCCTCCCCCCTCTCTCTCTTATTTTTATTATTAAGGATGATTTCAGAAGGGTAGTTGGCGCAAGCACTGATCTTTCAGTGGCCCCTGTATGTAGGCTTGTGGTGGATGACGTTTCGACTTCTGTGCTGATGTCATCTTCAGCTTAGAAATCGAAACTTTGTTCACCACAATATTCCAGCCAGACGCGGTTCACCGAAGATTCATCGCTAGAACTTTTTGTTCAATTATTCATAACTGATTAAATATTCAGTATGGAATTTTTCATTAAGCCTAACTGTTGACTTTCAAGTAAAGTCAAATGTTTTATTTCTATTGATAGTTTCGTTTAAAAATGCCTCAGTTTCATCTCAACTTTAGTGAGCTGCACCCACTCGTGCTGGTCAGTGTCGTACCACGTGAGTCCAATGTCGAATCTGCCGTTGATGTTGACGTATTGACAATTGTTGTACCACCAACCGCTAGAATAATACACGGCGCAGTGCGTGCTACTGGCGTCATTATCGCGGTCTTTGGTACTAAAAGCCATCGTGTTGTGATTCCCCATCGCGTCAGTAGCGTTTCCGTGGTAACCACCAATCAACAAACGGTAGTTGTCTGTTTCATTTGCAACGTGAAACAGGTCGTATTCGGCATACCTGTAACTACCGAAGGTATCCCACATGTCTACACGCAACGTACAATTTTCCGAGGTGGTAATCTGGTGGATAACTTCATTGCCTAACCAGTATTCTCCAGCTTGCTCACCAAATCCCCGTTTGTAGTCCTTCCAGGAACGATAGAAGTCCTGCGATCCGTCTACCCTACGTTGGATTACAGTCCAGTAACCACCAGCAGTATTCATGTCGCAGTATACAGAAAAGACGGATTCTGCCCCCTGGGGGTGGATTAAATAAACACCGCTCTTATATTGTGCTGGCAACATTGTTATCTCTTTCATGGAACAGTCTGGAAGAGATATGAAAGAAATAATGCTGGTAATTACAGATGGTAATATATATATAATTAATTTAACAAAGCGTATTTATTGATTGTTATTCAAGTTATACCCAAATGGTGTTTTAACCCTTCAATAAAATAAAATATTCAAATTATTCTTACATAACAATACACACGAACTTAAAGCAGACTTTGATAGAGACAAATGAAAGTCCCAAATTAATGACCATCGAACAAAAAGTCCTTATATACTGATATACAAGCACCATAAAGTTAAAAGACCATTACCCAGTCTTCGTTTATTGTATCGCATTACATCTATAGCAAGGACAGTTATTGAAATGTTTAGCCGAGTAATTACACATAGTTATCTTATATGCACCACACGGATCTAAATTCAAAAGATAAATTAACATACCTTTTGGCAATAAACCCACCAACTTTGAAATATCACTCTTCAGATCAGAGTAATCAGACCTCATCTGTAACAGTGTTGTTGAGATATTCCGGATTCGATGTTTTAATCCTTTATGCTGTCCTACCCAAGCTGTTAAGAAGGATTTGCAGATTTTTGCCTGAACTTGGTTATACAACGTATCTGGTTTCAACTGGTAATTGGTAATTTGCGCTTCAGGTTCTTCTACTCTGTATTCAAGGTTCTCAATTTCCACTCCTTGTAGAATGTCTATATTGTTGGTTCTACACTCTTGTAAAGACTGGTTGATCACCTCATTTTGTGTCTTTAAGAATGAATAGTTCTTTTTTAATGTCTTGAGGGTCTCGTGGTGATCACGTTGATCTTCTCGAAGGACTTTGAAAGAAGATTGTATCTGAGCAATATCTAGGCCAGATTTTGAGACTTCTTTTTGAAGATCCTGGATGCTCTTATCGAACCGGTCTTCCAGGACTTCAAGAGTTTCAAAAAGCCTAAAAATGGAAGAATGGAGTTTATCGACTGCGGTTATTATGTGTGTTACAGTTCGAAATCCTGTTTTGGTTTCCTGGAACTCCTGGTTGATACTTTCGTTCTCCTCTTTATATTTTATGTTCTGTTGAACCAGAGGAAACTGTTGCTTCTTCTGCTCTGTGATTTGAGATTCTTTCCTGTCAATATTCTGTGAAAAAGCTTGTACAGTCGAGTTCAGAATCGTGAAGTTTTTCTTCAACCAAAGGATCTCTCGTTGAATTTTTGCATGTTTGTTTACCATTGCCTTCATGGCTCGTTGCATCGTGGTAACTTCCATCTTCATACGTCGGTGATGACGTAGACGATGAACATTTCCTGTTCAGAAAATAAATAACTTATCAGACGCTTACATTTTCACAGAAAACAAAAATCTTTGTTGTTATCGAACGAAATTTTAAGTTTGTGTCACGCTTAAGTTTTAAGTGTGTCAAACCGTCCTGTGAAGTTTAAATTCTTCTGAAGAAGTGAAACTTAAGATCGGACAGAATTCGATCCCGAGGCTGTGCTTACGTTAGTCTACTACGTTATTCTTATGGTCATCTTAAATCAGAACTCGCATGCCGCGTATCTCAGCTTTCACTTCTTAAGAAGAAAGAAAGAAGAAAAAAAAAAACACACACAGTTTTGTTCATTCCAAGCAGCCGTTTTGTCCCATGAGCTGTTGAGTTGTTTAACTAACAAGCGATTCTGGATGGTTGTATGTCGTTGAGCGCAAAGCTACACGATAGGCGATCTGTGCTCTGCCCACCGCGGGCATCGAAACTCGACTTTTAGCATTATAAGCTCTGAGATTTACCGCTGAGCCGAGAAACTCTGTACATATTCAAATGGTATGACTCTTTAACGTGAATTTGAAGTGATTTCAATTCACAGAGCGCCTGTCTTCCTTCCCTAACTTATCTGTCTGTATTACTGACTACGTGAAAAACGTACACCTTGTGATACTGATTCGGAAAAGAGTCTGTTAATAGAATTTAACTCATGATTTGAAGGATTTTTGTTTGTTAGTATCCCAAACTGACTATGGCCCACTCGACTAGCAATCTGTGGGTTATGGTTTCGAATCCTGCCACCGAACATGTTTACCTTTTCAGTCATACGGTGCGTTATAATGTGACGGTTAATCCCACTATTCGTTGTACAGTAGCCCAAGAGTTGGAGGTTGGTGGTATTGACTAACTACCCTCACTCTAGTCTATCACTTCAGAATTAGTGCAGATAGCTATCGAGTAGCTTTGGTAAAAATTCAACAAAGAAACAAACAAATCTGACAAATTTGAACCCCAAACCTATACACAGTTCTAGCTTCAGACTTTTATCATTCAGACATATATAATGAATTTACAAGTCTTCCTTACCTGTACAGCAATCCATTGTAGCCTGTTTTGCGCTGAATTTATGTAAATTAAATAATTCAATCGGATTGCGATACCTTTTAGGATTGTTGTTTAGTGACGTCATGTTTCCATTATTGGAAATAAAATAATGGCATATATCTTCAGAATGTATCTTTAATGGCTCACTGTTTCGCTATTTCCTCTTCGTCAGCTCACTAACTTTGCTGAAAATGGGACTTTACGAAGCTGTAATAGCAAAATATTGAGCCATTCTCGAGATATAGATCGTTATTAATATAAATGTCTCGAAATAAAGTTAAGAATCTTTCTATAATGATTGTCAGATAAACGAAAGACGTACATTTCATAACATTTAAATATAAATAATTTGACCATTTGTTATTCTCCGCTCAGCATCATAAACCCCACGTTCTAGTCCTCCGGTGCGACAGCGGTAAGTTTACGAACTTACAACACTAAAATCCGGGGGTGCGATTCCCCACGTGCTCTAAAACAAATAAACACGATGTTCTATGGTGAAATGCCCCTAGTGGCACAGCGGTATGTTTGCGGACTTACAACGTTATAGAAATCGGGTTTCGATACCCGCGGTGGGCAGAGCACAGATAGCCCATTGTGTAACTTTGTGCTTAACTTCAAACAAACAAACTATGGTGAAACTGAATAGTAAGGTTTATTTGAAAAAATATGGATGCTGGATGTTAAAGAGAAATAAGTTTTTTTTATTTTTCTACTTACTAAACTTGTGATAGCCAGTCACATCATAACCTTCATCTCCAGAATCATAGTCTCTCAGTAGACTTCGCAACGCCAACGGTTTCTCCTTTGCGTTTTTCTAATGAGGGAAAAAACAAACAAACAAACCCAGTCTTCAGTTGTATTTTTTTAAACCTCTCGAAAAAAGTTCAAGTCAAATATCAAAAAAGCAGCTAAAGGACAATAACCATAAGTGTTTCTACTCACCCATATTGACTTGACAACGTTCGTAACCAGGGGTGTGCACAAGGGGCACGCCTCCCAAACAACTATGTATACAAAGTCGATCATTTATGTTTGACGGGGAATGTTTGAACTTAATTAAAACAATGTAAGTTTAACAGCAATCATATATTACAAAGTAATAACTTGAACATAAACTTTATCTCAAAATTTTAAAATTATAACAAAGCTTCTTCGTAAACAACATTTACAGTTTGCTTTCCATCTACCAACAAATAAAGATTTTGAGGTGATCCCACCCTTGAACACTCTACACCTCATTCACCATGAGAAAAGCATGGTTATTTGAGAAACAATCCAGAAACTTTCATACTTTGACCTTGAATCCCTTTAGAATATCCAACATTGTCTAAAGTGTCAACCTGCCAAGATTGTTTGAGATTGACTCAATAGGCTTTACTAAATATAAATAGGGTTAAGTTCAATTTTGATTCCCCTTAGGGCATTCCCCATAGTTCATAGTGTTTGCTTACAAATTTTGGTTGAGATTGGCCCAATATGCTCGGAAGAGTTAGGGTTCAAACAAACAAACAATATAGGCCCGGCATGGGCAGGTGGTTAGGACGCTCGACTCGCAAGCTGCGGGTCGCGGGTTCACATCCCCATCCCACCAAACATGCTCGCCCTTTCAGCCGTGGGGGCGTTATAATGTGACGGTCAATCCCACTATTCGTTGGTAAAAGAGTAGCCCAAGAGTTGGCGGTGGGTGGTGATGACTAGCTGCCTTCCCTCTAGTCTTACACTGCTAAATTAGGGACGGCTAGCGCATATAGCCCTCGTGTAGCTTTGAGCGAAATTCAAAACAAACAAACAAACAATATAGATAATATGTGTGTGTGTTAATAACGGTCAACTTGAAGTTTATGCGCACTGCATTGTTTGTAACCCTAAAAGCTTTCTATTATGACATCTTGACTGCTTAATGAAAGACAGTTTTCTGTTTAAAAGACCTCTCGAAGGGAATGAACACCTAATTCACTTATAAGCCGTTTTCTTATGGAGGCTTGGAAGCTGTCGAACTAACAACTTAACTTTCCCATTTGTTAGATGATTTTTTAATTTGGAAAAAATATCCTACGAACGAACTTTAAAATTCACTTAGTAGGTGTCGTTGGAGAATAATACAGTAATACGCAAACGTTTTTTATGCCTCCACTTTCTAAATATTTGTTCTGTTGCCCCCCCCCCCAACCCCCTGTTTATAGTAGGAATATTTGTGTGATTGATTTTTAAGTTTATTTATTTCAAAGTTACACTTTGAGACATAATTTATAAGCTCCTATAGTCTTAGATCTGTGCCCCCTACTAACTCTGCAACCCCCTTGAGGGTGTACCCCCATTGTTTGTGCGCCACTGGCATAGAATACAGTCACGTGACATTTCGTTTCGAAAGACCGTCATGCTTTTAAAGAGAGAAAAATTTTCCAACCAGCAAGCAAATTGAATAACAATCCTCTTTTTTTTTACACGCATGTGAAGGATAAATTAAGGTTTTATAGTTGGAAAGAGGGGGATGGGGGTCACGTAGAACAGAACTCCTCCTTCTAGCGCCACTTTCTTACCTGGTAAGCAGATTTCCTTGAGGCACGTCTGCGGCTTGTTGCCCGAATTCCTACTTCATTTTTGAACGAGTTGACCTGTAAAAAAAACGACACGACAGGTGGTGAATGGCAGTTTGGAAAGTTGCTGGGTTAGAGAATAAAACTACAAGCTGCTCCTGGCCAGAAACCTGAACCTGTTACAAGGATTCTGTCTGATGTAGTTTTTATATTTCAAGAAAAAGTATCCTTAAGTAAACGACAATGATGTAGTTATGATAATGGAAAGTTAGATAAATAGACACATGTGTTTGTTTTTATAGTCTGGGTAACACCGTACTTATGTTATATCAGACTGTGAGAACATTATAGACTGGTAACACACCAAACCTATGTTATATCAGACTGTGAGAACATTATAGACTGGTAACACACCAAACCTATGTTACATCAAACTGTGAGAACATTATAGACTGCTAACATACCAAACCTATGTTATATCAGACTGTGAGAACATTATAGACTGGTAACATACCAAACCTATGTTATATCAGACTGTGAGAACATTATAGAGATACCAGATACCAAACCTATGTTAACGGTTGTTATTCTGTTAATTATTAGTATTTCTCTGTGGTTGTTATTCTGTTACTTATTAGTATTTCTCTACGGTTGTTATTCTGTTAATTATTAGTAATTCTCTACGGTTGTTATTCTGTTAATTATTAGTATTTCTCTACGGTTGTTATTCTATTAATTATTAGTATTTCTCTACGGTTGTTATTCTGTTAATTATTAGTATTTCTCTATAGTTGTTATGACGTTACCAGTCTATAGTGTTCTCACAGTCTGATATTCACCAACCATAGTCTCATCCGTCTTGTACTCCTTCACTAACCACAGTATTAGTATTTCTCTGTGGTTGTTATTCTGTTACTTATTAGTATTTCTCTACGGTTGTTATTCTGTTAATTATTAGTATTTCTCTGGAGTACAAGACGGATGAGACTGTGGTTAATGAAGAAGCACAAGACGGATGAGACAATGGTTGGTGAAGGAGCACAAGACGGAGGAGACTGTGATTAGTGAAGGAGTACAATATGGATGAGACTGTGGTTAGTGAAGGAGTACAAGATGGATGAGACTGTGGTTAATGAAGGAGCACAAGACGGATGAGACTGTGGTTAGTGAAGGAGCACAAGACGGATGAGACTGTGATTAGTGAA